AAAATCAACAGGCTACATAAAAAGTGGATTCTTTAAGAGCTGTTTGTGTGCAAAATAATACTGCATGATTCTGGATAAATTTTTTTTTCTTCCCCAAAAAATTCACATTTTTAAAATTTTTTTATTAAATATTTATTTATTTGTGAAAAATACTTTGTCATCTAAAGTATAAGTATGTTTATTTAACATATTTACTTTAATCCATTTTCAAATGATTTCAAATTTCTTAAACATTAATTAAAATAAATAAAATTATATCGGCTTTATATCGGCCATCGGCCACCCTGCTTTCCAAGATATCGGCATCGGATGTCAAAAAAAACAATATCGGTCGACCGCTACTGTAAGATTAGAAAATAAGTGTCTTACAAAGAAGATAAATCTCTCTCATGCTATTTATGTATTAAGAGGTTTTTTTTCTTAATTTTTGCTACGTCACACCATAGGACAAATTTATGGTAGAGTTCAGTAAAAATGTTAAAAAAGCGTTGAAAGAATTGACGAAGTTAGTGACCCTTTACATTTTCTCAAAGATCAGATTTTTTGGGATGTGTATAATAAAAAGGAGTGTCTAGAAAATATGTAAATATCGCTTTACCAGTTACATATATTTAATCTAATTATAATGTGCCTGTATTATATTTAAGTGTAGCATGATGGTGTGCTCAGTGCTGATGGCTTAAGTTGTGTGTGTTAGTGCACACATGAGGTTATGAGATGCAGCACAGTAGTAGCTGAGTTCAGCAGGTTCAGTGGAGTTTTCTGTCTGTCGGCGAGAGAGAGAGCTTTCTCATCCTCAGTCTCTCTCTCTCTCTCACACACACAGACACACAAATATCACACATGTAGGTCATGCTGACTAGCAGTAGCTTTAGTCTCTGTTGTGATGTCTGGCTGTTCTCAAGCTGTGAAGCTCGCAGGCCTCTGCCCTCTTCCCAGGACGATCTTATGGAGAGCAAAAGATAAAGACGTCCGCAACTATCTCTTTCAACCAGTGACACAGTGACCTCTCACCTTCCACCCCCACCTCTCTCTGTCTCTCCCTCTCCCTCTCTCTGTCTCTCAGGCGGTTGTTTACGTTTCTGTTATGATCCGAGCACATGCGGCCAGCTGGAGGAGGGGATCTTAGGGGGAGGGGCAGTGACCGACAGGATAAAAGTCTGTGGCTTAAATCAGGCCACTGTTTACAGGGAAAACAAACCTTAATTTTATTTTTAAATGATTTTAAGTTGTGTTTTTGTTATAAATAAATGTATATGAGTGCCGTATTTGCTTTATGTAGCTGTATGTAAAATTATAATTCGATGTTAATACAGATCGATGATTGCATGAGATAAAAGTGGTGGTAGTTAATCCATGTTACCATTAAGAGGCTGTTGACCCCTCACACCTCCCTCTCTGGTGCCAAACTCAAGCTCAAGGGATGTGCATTGTGCACACATACTCCGAAAAGCACACCAATGATTGATCATGAAAAAAAGTAATCGGACACTATCAAGCAATATCATACTGAAATTCAGTAACAACTGTGTCATTGTCCTGACAATTGCATTTACTTAAACTTAAATGATCTATCATTCAGTGGCACTTACATCCAATTAATCGTGATGAGCACCACCTTTTCATAGGGCCCTATGAAATCAGTTTTATTTTTTTTTTACCAAATTGCATTTTATTTTTTCCCAAATTATTAAATTTTTTTTTATTTGCTACAAATTTATCATTAAAAACTGTAGTAATCAATTGAATTCATAAAACTTTAACAATTTAATCAATCTTTTACAATGTAATCAAATGAAAATACAACAGTTTTCAAATAATACAACCCTTTACAACAAAACATTGAATTTTTTTGTTAAATAAATCATTAGGACTGCCCCCTAATAGTCGACGAGAAGAGGCTTGGTCGACCAAAATTGTATTAGTCGCAGAAAAAAAAATCCACAGGAAGCGGTGAGGTCACACAGTCCGTGACGGACAGATCGTTAACGGCTGGGGTTTGTGGTAAT